TGACTCCCCACCCCCCTGACTCCCCACCCCCCGACTCCCCACCCCCGACTCCCCACCCCCCTGACTCCCCACCCCCTTACTCACCCCAACCTCCTCCCCCCCCACCCCCTGACTCACCCCAACCTCCTCCCCCCCCACCCCCTGACTCACCCCAACCTCCTTCCCCCCCACCCCCTGACTCCCCACCCCCTGACTCTCCCCCCATCGCCTCTCCCCGCCCCTCCCCCCAATCCTTCGGCTGCTCCATGCCCCCGCGCGCCTCTGTGTTAATCAATCCCCTGGCTCCCCACCGCCTCGCTCCCTCGCCCCATCCCTCACCCGCCCGCCCGCTCCCTTCCACCGCCACCACCGCCAACCTCCAGCGCCGCCGCGGACACAAAAAAAAAAATCTGTCACCGTTTCTCAGCGGGCCCGGCGAGGACTGGCCGGGTTGGCCCTCTGGGGCTTGTTAAATATTCGTGACAGTGTTGAGCCCTGTGTTTGGGAGGGATGGAGGGAGGGGAGGGGAGGGAATAGAGGGGAAGGATGGAGGGAGGGGAGGGAATTTAGGGGAAGGATGAAGGGAGGCAGGCAGGGGTAGGCAAGGCAGGGTAGCACGGGACGATGGGGGGGAGGGAATGAGCGAGCGAGAGAGGGAAGGGGGGAGGGAGAGAGGGGAGAATGGGAGATAGCCGCTAGGGGCGTTGGCTGTTGTAAGTGGGCCCCACATCTGCGTCGGCCGGAAGGAAGGATGGGGCCTGAGGCTCGCTGTGCCGAGCGCCGTCCGCACGAGGCGAGATGCGGCGGTGGTGGCAGCGACGACGACGACACGCGGCTCCCGTGCCGAGCGCTCTCACCGTGGGGCCCCATTCGCGTGCGCGGGGAATTGGGTTGTGCGGGGATCTGGGTGACATTTCGAGTGCAGGTTTTAATTGGATGTGATGATGATCTGTGCTGCCGCCAAAGCGAGGCTTTCTCTCGCGCTCGCATTTTTTTTTGATCAACTTAACCCTTTGCGCAGTGGTGGGAGGGGGGGCCGGATATCGGATCGCCTGTTGGATGCTCAGCACGTGCTATGATGACAAAACTAATTGTGACGTATTTCGAAATATTTGTCAAGGCTTTTTTGCACTGAACTCTTTGATTGTTTCAAAACTCCAACTTTTTTTTCAATCTGGAGATTAAAACGTAACAGTTGCTGGTGTTAACGGAGGCTTGTTGGAAAGTCAACTTTAGTGCACAAAACTGCTGCTTTGTTTGGGTTTGCATCATGGGATTCACCCTCCTCCGCAGCATTTCGATGAATTGTCACGATTTCGGGGGTTGCGATACGATTCAAGAAATATGTTTTCTTTGTATTGTTTCACCATCTCGTTTGCATAGCTGTTTTTCTGACTTGTTCGTACAGGTTTTGTCCGCACCGTTGGCCTAAACGTAACATCGGTATATAATTAGCTTTTGTTTTCAGAAAACGTAACTAATCCATTCTTACACAAGTTGATGCATGTGTCACGAGCGTAAGAATCGATATTAATCGATGCATCGTTACATGACACAGTATCAAATCAGTTTTCTGCGTGACTCAGCTGAATATATCAGCCACTTACTACATCGGGTTGGATCCAGAGCCCGTATTAGCCCACTGATTTGTGTCTCTTTGTTGGGATGAAGTAGAGTCCAGAGAAAAACTATATTTATACGGCTTGTTAAGTCAGGGGTAGGGGCTTGGGGGTAGTTTAGAACCCATGTTTGTCTTGTTTATTGCGGGGTTGATGCACAAGGGGGTTAAACAGCAGAACCCTCTCCCCCATCACACTCTCAACCCCCCACCACCACCACCATCACACCTCCCACCCCCACCTCCCAGCTCAAACCCCATGCCTCCTCCACCCTCTAATTCCCCTAAGACAGGAAGAGCCATATCCTGGTCCTATCTGGTCAGACAGGCATAACTAGCTCGGCCTGTACGGCTGGCACAGAGCGGAATTCTATTGTCACCATCACCCCTCTCGCAAGAAAATACCCCTCCTTCAGTTTACACACCAACGCCCCACGCACCTACCAATCCCACGCGACCCTTCATCACTGTGAACACTACACAGCCACGCCAGCCCCTCGTCGATACAAAACCTCACAGCTCCCACCAACCCTTCTTCAATGCTAACGTCTACACCGATCTTCCGTCAATACTGACCTCAAAGCTACACTTCATCAATGCTCACCTCACAGCTCCACCAGCCCTTTATCGATACAAATCTCTCAACTCCACAAACCCTTCATCAATACTGATCTGAAAACTCCACCAACCCTTTATCAATACGAATACTTACAGCACCACCGGTCTTTCACTGATGTAAACCCAATAGCACCACCAATAACCCTTGATCCGTACACATTTGAAATATAGCTCCACATGGTCTTCGCAGTTTCACCATCCCTGCGTCTTTCCTGATCTAAAGCCGGCGTCCACTCGCCTCTCGCACTCCCCTCTCCGCCCCCCCATCCCTTATACCAACCCCTCCCCAAATCTCGGGCTTGTAAACACGAGGTCGTGACCTTTGCTGCGCCCATGTGACCCAAACTCCCAAATGAAAGGGGCTCCTCTAGGGGGGCTCCCGACGAACGAGCGAGCGAGCGGACAGAGTCTGCGTGGAACCGCAGTGTTGGGGAGTGTGCAGCGTATAGCCCAGCTGGGGAGATCCGGGGAGAGCAGTAGGAGGAGGGTCCTTCTAATCCTCCAGGCCAGCAGATGGAAGGGCAGATTTCTGGCCGGGAGAATGTACATTTAATCCTTTAGTATTATAATCGATAAACAGTAGCATGAGCCGAGGCTGCATGGGAGGAGGGCGAGCTTTCTGGGGTTGGGAGTGATGAGTGGAGGAAATCCTCTGGTAGGGGGAGGAAGGATGTTGTACACAATGTGCTGAAATCCTGTTTCTGTCTCTATAAAATTCCACCGAAGCTTGCCAATAATATTGAGATGTGTCCTGTGCGTGCGTGCGTGCTTGTGGCGGTGTGTGTGCCGACAACCTTTAATGAGTACTGTACATCCTCTGTACCTGGTGCGGTGTGCAAACATCAGCACTCGGGAGACAAAGGCGGCTGTGCCTGGCACTGACCACACCGTCCCCTCGTGTGCCATGCCGGCATTCATAGGTGCTCGCTAACAGCACTTGCCCCAGCAAAACAATGCGTAGGCTATACGGGGTTTTTTTTGTGATATTTGTGCTTTTTTATGTATATGTGTGTGTAGTATATTTCATCATGGTTTAATTTCTGAGTCGTATTTAAAGTCTTACTTTTGCATGTCTAACATTTGCATTAAAGTAAACACCATTTTATTTTTGTACATCTGATGTTTTTTGTTCATCAAAATAGTGATTAAATTTTTATGTTTATTGTTGAAGTTTATAATTTTGGAGGAACAACAACAATCTTAGAAAAAGTTTTCCCTGCTAAAAACGAGAACAGTTCCTTATTTTTAAATCAATAAATCAATCGGTCAATTCCATTACCCAAAGTCGGGTGAGACGCCATGGAGTGTGTACTATGGACGACGCTGGAAACTAATAATTAGATGCAAAAAAATAACAACAACAACCCCCTTAAAATTAAACTCAACAGCATAGCTGATGTCAAGGTTCGTTTCACGTGTGCGGCAGGACATATTCTCATTTTCAAACGCAACAATGAAAGAGCGAGCGTGCGGAATTTAGATCTACCGATTGATGTCCCTTATTTAAAACCAGGTGAGAGAGGGGTGGTGGTGGGTCCCACCGAGATGATGACAATGCAGCGATTTTGACAAGCCGCCGCGCTGACAGACGAAATGTGGAAGAGGAATACAAAAATAACACGAAGAAAGCAGCAGAAAAGCGAGGTTGTGGAAATTTGACGCAGGCACAAGCAAGGACAGCCCTTATGCTAACGAGCCCAGTTTCCCTGGCTCCAGAGGGGTCCTGCCAGGGAGGAGGGAGGAGAGAGGAGGAGGGGAAAAGAATAAAATAAAAGCAAAGCGCTGGCCGTGCGAGCCTGCAGAATGAGTGTGGCGGTGGACGGGCGGGCAGCTTGCGGGCAGCAGTTGCGGCAGCCAGGGCAGCAGCCAGGGCAGCAGCCTCCGTCCCTGGCCTGTGCACGGAAGTCGAGTCGGTGGCATTAGCTGCCCTGCCAGCCCTGCTCCTCGACATCTTCCCTCCTCCTCTTCATCCTCCTCCCCGTCTCTCGTTCCGCGTCTCTCTCTCTACATCTTCCCAGCTTGCTCCCAGTTTCAACCCCGGTCTGCTGCTCCCCCCCCCCCCCTTTCTTACCTATCCACCCCTTACCTATCCCCCCTTACCTATCCCCCCCCCCTTACCTATCCACCTCCCCCCCGTTAACTACCCCCCCCCCCTTCTCACCTATCCCCCCCCCCCATTCTTACCTATCCCCCCCCTTCCCTCCCACCCTGGCACCCCCCCCCCCCTCTCCTCCTCCTCCTGCACTTAGCGCCTCTCGCAGTGGCTTCACAATCCCTCCTCCTCCCCCCTTCCCTCCCCTTCCCCCAACCCCGACAACGCCGGGGTGCATGGAGCCGACTACCACCACCACCACTACTACACGTGTGTAGTGTTGTTGTTCGGGACTAGCTAGCTAGCACCACCACCACCAACAACAACAACAACAACCCGCCCCGGCTCGGCACACACACACACACACACCGTGCCAGTGCAGCCGGGACACGGAGACAGCCAGCGAGGAAGAAGTAGCAGCAGCAGGAGGAAGAAGAAGAAGAAGGGGGAGGACAGAGCAGGCAGCCTCCCCCCCCCCAACCAACCAACCTCCCCCCCCCCCAACCAACCAACCTCCCAACAGAATCATCGTGGGGACGACGCGGCGGTGATAGTCGTCCCGACCAACGCCATGGCCAGCGCCCCTCAACCCCCTCACCCGCCGCCGCCGCCACCGCCGCCGCCGCCCCACGGGCCGCCTCCTCCTCCTCCTCACGACCCGTTCTATTCCTCTCCCTTCGGCCCCTTTTACAGGCGGCACACCCCGTACGTGACACAGCCCGACTACCGCATCTACGAGCTGAACAAGCGCTTGCAGGCGCGCACAGAGGTGAGTGGCGGTGGGTGTCCTCTCTGTGTGTGTGTGTGTCTTGTGTGTCTTGTGGTGTGGCGTGTGCGCTTGGTTAGTGTCTGTGTGTTGTGTGTGTGTTGTGTGTGTCTTGTGGTGTGTGTTGTGCGTGTGTTGTGTCTTGTGGTGTGTGTTGTGTCTTGTGGTGTGGCGTGTGCGCTTGGTTAGTGTCTGTGTGTTGTGTGTCTTGTTGTGTGTCTGTCTGTGTGTGTGTTGTGTGTGTCTGTGTGTGTGTTGTGTTGTGTCTGTGTGTTGTGTGTGCGTGTGCGCTTGGTTAATGTCTGTGTGTGTTGTGTGTGTCTTGTGTGTCTGTTGTGTTGTGCCTGTGTGTCTGTTGTGTCTGTGTGTGTGTCTGTGTGAGTTTGTTGTGTGTGTTGTGTGAAACAACTGCTCCTGGCAGTTGTGTTTCCACATGTTCGTGTACATGCAAGTTTTAGTTTTTTTGGTGCGTGTGTTGCCACCCCTTCCACCCCTCCTCCTATCTCTCACTCTCGCCTGCTCGGGGTTTACATGTGTGCGTGCACTGTACTGTGTACATGTTACAAAACCCACACACACATATATACACACACATACATACACACACATACATACACACACACGTATACACACACATATATAACAACAACCGCCATTCGCCACCTTCAATTCATTACCACGAAACTACGAATTAAACACACACACATATATATACACACATATATACACCCATACACCATGCAGTCACAGCCATCGTGCCTTGTACCCGTGTACTGTTCGCTCCCCCAACCACCAACACCACCAACATCACCACCCCCAACACCACCACCACCAACATCACCACCAACATCACCACCAACATCACCACCACCAACACCACCACACCACCACCCCCAACACCACTACCAACACCACCACCCCCAACACCACCACCCCCAACACCACCACCAACATCACCACCCCCAACACCACCACCAACATCACCACCAGCATCACCACCCCCAACACCACCAACATCACCACCACCAACATCACCACCCCCAACACCACCAACATCACCACCCCCAACACCACCAACATCACCACCCCCAACACCACCAACATCACCACCATCACCAACATCACCACCCCCAACACCACCAACATCACCACCTCCAACACCACCACCACCCCCAACATCACCACCACCACCAGCCTCCTCCTCCCTCCCTTTCGCCCGGGGTTCTTCTCGTCTTTTGTGCCAAGCCTTGCTCGTGGCAGTTGTTTCCACATGCCTGACTCTTATTTTTCTCTCCGCTTCACTCTCTTCTCCATTTTCCTTCCTGCTCCCCCACCACCACCAACACCACCAACTCATTCTTTCTCCAAACCTCCATCCCTCCCACCCCCCATCCACACTCCCATCCACACACTCTGTGTCTCTCTCCTATCACTCGACCTCTCTTTCTTCGCTCTCCACTCTTTTGCATCTTCTTCCTCTCCTCTTCCACAACCCACTCCCATCGCTTCTCTAACGCACGCATCTCTCTCCCTTCCCTAGCTCTCCCCCTTGGCTCTGTTGTGTTTACAGCTTTTGCGTCACACATTTGTCTCGGTGACCACCCCCTTGCCAGCCTCGTGGAGCTGCTTTGTGTTTGTTGTTGTTGTTGTTCTTGTTGTTGTGTGTGTGCCTTTTCGGCTAAGTTGATGCCGGCTATGTTGTTGTTGGCATCGTGTAATTAACAAAGGCCCTTTCCGAGATGTGTATCACCTGTAGTAATCATAATAATGACAACGTTCGTTCCACACACACACCACCACCCCCCGTCTTTGTTTTTTATTGTGTCGCTAATTGTGTTAATTGCCGTGTTGAGACCCAACCTGGCGTTGGGCTCCCTCGATTACCCTGTGGCACCACCGTGCCGTATCCCCACCGCCTTCGTGTTTTTGTTTCGGTGTTTTTGGCTCGGGCGCAACGTTTCCCATCATCGCGGGCCACGATGTACAATGACATTGTCCTTGCTTACGGACGCACGTGTGTCTCTGTGTGTTGGGGATGTGATGGTGGCAGTGGTTCGTGATCCCAGGTGACATTAGTTTGATTCTGGAACGTGAACAGCATCAGTGGCGGGTGGTTTATGAATCTCTCAATCTTATGCCTCCTCTTCCCATCCCCCCCAGATCAGCTCAGCCTTAAATGAGCACTTGGTGCAGTGTGTAAACATTGGAATTGGGGAGACAAAGGTGGCTTGTGTGGTGGTCGCCACACACCACCCCACCCCCTTGGTGCAGTGTGCCGGCCATGTATGAGGCTAAACGAGCGATCTTGCCTTGTTATGTACACCTCGGGAGAGATACGACAACTATCGTGTGTATACAATGTACACAAAATAAAAACTCGATCGGCAGTAGAGGATTTTAGCAAGAAATGTCATTAAAATATATATATTTTTAAAACCCCACCGTGCGTTCTAAGAAGAATAGATGTATTCGTACATCACGTGTGTGATGTTTGGACGACGTGGCAATGACGAGTCGGGACCAAAAAAATCGTCGGAATAAGTCGAAAATGCGGCGAGACAGCTCAATTTGGCGAATATTTAACGACTGGAAAGTGTGGACTGGGTGCAAGTTGTTGCTTTCGTCTCAAATGTTCATGCACCGCTCATGCAAAGGTCAGCACTGGCTCAGCCCGTGTGTGTCCCCCCCCTTCAGCTCTTCTGCGTAACCGTGAGCATCAGAAGTTGGAGTTGACAGGGTTAACGCATCTGGCGTAACCTTAGTATGCTACGAAAATGCAGTTAACTTAGCCTATGAAAAATAGCAAAGGCTGTGCTGCTTACGAGAAGCTTTTTTAAAAATTAAAGTGCAGCACATTTAAGCAATTGTTGGGGTTGTTTTCCTCCAATCGGATTTTGACGATGGCAATGTTTAGCTACAATTAAGGTTCCGATTAAGTGGAGGTTAGACGGTAATACGACTAAGGATACACGTGTGTGTGTGTGTGATTATATTTCCTCGTATTCGCGACTTTGCTTTAACAAGTCACCGCACCGGTGGCACACGCCTTTAAAAGCCCGATCCGCGCAAATTTACTCTGCGCTATTAAATCAACATTAACTTAAATCCATACAGAGGTCTTACAAGCAAATCATTGCGTATGTTAATTAATTGTTCGCTCACAGCGTGCGGACTTCGGCGCCCTCCTCCTACGTGTGTCGCGTTTGACCCCCCCGACGCACGCAAGCGCGTGACCTCCGCCGCTAAGTGCCAAGGCGAACGTCGCCCCGTGTCGCGTGTGACCCCGTCGCTAGGGCCCTTTGCTCGCTCCGGCCCCCACGGCCTCCGGTTCCTTTGTCCTCGTCCTCCACCACCACCACCACCACACCCACCCCCTACTCCCCCACGCAAAGGCACCCCCTTTGTCTCTCTTGTCCCGTCTGCTCCTCCGACGTCCCCTTGCGTGATTTTTGTACGCAGCGGCGGTCATGACAAAGCTGGGCCGCAGTGTGTCAGCTCGGTCGCTCGGTCGCTCGGCCACGCTCTGAACTTTTGTCGAGCGGCGAAATTCCGTTTCGGTCGCTTCGTGCGCTCTCCCTCTGTGCCTTGGACGAGCCGCGGTTGTGCGAGGCCTTGAAACCACAATTTTGCTCCTGCCACCGTCGTCCCCCCGGGCTGTCTTAATCTCCATCTCTTCGTTTCTGTTCCACGACGGCATCTCTATCAATCTTGCCCAGGCAGTCCTAACTCACCGCCTTTCCCTTCCCACACGAAACTATTCTCACTCCTTAGTGACACTCCTACCAGCACAATTTCATCTTTGCTTCCGAGTTCCTTTTCTTTTAGTGTTGACTGACGGCATCAATGTTTTACTTTCACATTTTTCGCCCTTCAGATATCTTGTAAAATTACCACACGTTGATGCCCTTTGGACCCACGCTGCATTTTAGACGGTTGCGTCCCCCCCCCCCCGCTCCTGTTTATTGGTCGATAACCATGGCTACTTCATTCACTCGTAGTGGCTCTGACATGACACCCGTCCTTAATCCGCGGTTCGTCAATGTACATAATTATTACCGTCATCATGCACGTCGGCATAGTAATAATATCACACGTGGTTAGTGGGGGGGGGGGGGGGGGGCCCTTGTATTACGATGTTGGTTTGATTTAAAGGCCAGAACCCGATCATTGAATTGTGCAGGCCACGTCCAGTGACGATGGGCCCACGTGCCGATCCGATTTCCTGCGCTTGTGTAACACTCGCCACTGCCGCCACCACCCTCCATTCCACCGACCCCTCCACCCCGTGCACCCTCATTGCTTCCCCAAACCCAAGCTTCTTTCTCATCCCATCCCCCTGCCCCTACTCTCACCCACAACCCTCCATCACCCCCCCTGCCACCCTCTTGAGCTTCCCGCTGTTTGCTGGCTGGTTCTGTATGCTGCCCGTGTATTGGGGTCGCGCGGAGGAAAGATTTGCACCAGCCTCTCTCTGCCTCGCTCGGCTCTCTCGCTCGCTCGCTTGCCTCTCTTTCTCTTGCCACATTCGTAAGCCTCTTCTGCCTTCTGGCCTTTGGTGGCTTCGTGCGGCCACCACTTGCTCATTCTTTCTCAAGTCTGCGTGTCTCTCTCTCTCTCTGTTCCGCTGAGGTCTGCTGATTGATTTCGTAGAGGAGTGTGTTTCCCTTGGAAAACAAAAAATCCACCACTGCCATGTTGAGCTTTATTTATGAGTGTTTATTTACTTGCATTTTTCACAAAGTGTTGTTAGCAACACTCGGTTATTTAAAGTTTTGCGACATCGTGGTAACCAGGCGGGTTTTTTTGGTTATTCCTTTACCCTTAAATTCCCTCGTTTGATTTTCATCCCCTGACGTTATCCCACATAAATCAATGTCTCTTTTCCGCTTGGGGGACGTCTCATTGTTTTTCCACGACTTTACGCTTTATTAATGTATTTGTCCAATTAGAAAAAGGAGGAAACGTCGGCCGGCCCCCCCTTCGTCTTGTTACAGGAATGCCTG